CCGACCGCTAGATACTGACGAGGAAACGCCGACGCCAATCGATACCGTCGACCTCGGCATCCTGCCGCGTTCGTCGGCGGGGTTCGCGATAGCGCGCGCCATCCCCTTCCACCATCGTTGCGTCTCGCTCCCGTGATGTTCCTCCCCGTCCACGTCTCTCTTTTCACCCTCGCACTATTCTGCGCTTCGAGTTCTGTCTCTGCCTCCGTTTGTCGGTGTCTCCTCTCTGTCTCCGGTTAGCTTGGCCGGTTCGCGTTTTCTTCTATTTCGTTCTACCTCGCGTGTCTTTTATTGGATTTATTTATTACGTATGGCTGTATATCCATTCTCTTTCCATGAGACTCCTGGAATTAACGCTACAAGTTGGCTCGAGATGTGTAGCTCCGATGGAATTAACTCGGATTATTTTCTCAGATGTTGTCTGCGGTACACCGTTCTAACTTTCTCGAGGGAGCTAGCAACAATATCGAGTAGTAACATTATCGAGTCGTAACGTAAACGAAATTAACTATGCGTACGTTCCTAAGTCGACAGACATTAATTGTACGTTTTCTCGCTGACTGTGGCCTTATATTAATTGTAATTCTTTTACTTACATTACGTAAATATCTACCGATCATTTATTATGATTAAAATGGTAATAAAATATTATAATCTACAAATGTTGCGGATAATGGCAAGATAATTTTTTTCCGCAACGTCCTGTTGTCCTGTATAATTTTAATAATAAACTTTTTCTTTCTCATATTTTCGATAAAATTTTGTTGCTTTTTTCAATCTTGATTCTTATTTTCTATCGTTTATTACATGCACATTAATGCCGTTGCGATGATGTAAATAGATTCGCGACGTGTTCTCTGCGAAATTTACGGGGACTTTACTAATCATCTCGGAATGCAAGATCGTGCGAGAGATTATGATAGCGCCGTAGTAATTAATGGGTTCAGATATATGATCCCTGACAAGTTCTATCTTAATCTATGATCTTCGTTCCATCTTACGTAAACTTTAAGAACATGTATAGAGCGATGATAACCAGACGGTCACTTAGAATGAAGCCATATGGTAAATTTCTCGCGTCATTAACCCAGTTGGAAAATTCATCATCGTAATGAGAAGAGCTATCTCACCGATTTCTAAAATTGTGTTGTTAACTTTTTCATTTGAGCAAATTTGTAAATAAAAAAATTAGCATATTTGAATAATGTTCGAACAGTATCCAAATATATCTTAATATAAATTATTATCAATTATTGTAAGATTAATCTGCGCGAGCCACTTTCGATTCAAGTTATTTGAATGAGTTGTTATTTATTATTATACAGTATACATCTATCTTTTTCTTATATTGTCCGGTTATCGATTATACATGTATTCTCAACCAAAAGTTACGTAAAACGCGTACGAGCATAATCCTGTAGCTACAGCTTACATGGATAGGTGCCAACAACGCTATATATTCGTTGAAGGGTGGTTATGGTGGTTCACTCCATATACACCCTCCTCCGATTCGTGCTAGTTTGCGGAG